ACTCTTCGCGAACCGAGACGAGCCGCAGCGACACTTTGCGTTTTCTATGAGCGCAATAATGGATTACGTGAGCAGCCATTTTGTTTCCCATCTCACCCAGATAGGTCATGTTGTATTTTGTTTCATGCACCTAGCCAATTTTGGACATGAGCCATCCTTTTGTTTTTTTTTTTTTTGTCTATCGAACCAAGATAGACTCTGGAGACAATTTTGTTTCTCAACGGAAAAGTAAATTTTCTGAATGGGTACCGGTGTTCGAATACTTTTGTGGCCGACTGTACCTACTTCAAGAACCTTGATAATTTGCTGCTTAGAAGTTACTGCCCATATAATAAATGGAATAATATTTAGACGCAATCGGTCGGTCTGCAGCTATTTGGAAATCAAGCGCCGTATTATCAATCTTATCTAATAATATAATACTATTATACAAAATTTTGTATAATACTATTATTCAAAATTTCAAACGTTAATGAATTACCGTTCGCAGCATAAAAATCTAAAATATATTTTTTCAAATAAGAAGCTAAGCTTATTTAAAGGCAGAAAATTAAATTTAAATTAACAGAAGTTACTATAGGAAACTGAATTAATTACTTTGGAATATTTCATAGTTTATCTGAGGAAACGTTCTGAGTAAAATTTTCCTAACATACGCTACGAGAATAGCTGTTGTCCAATAATAATGTTTGTTTACGGAGGCACGGCTCCGGTGAAAGCAAATATGAGACGTCATTGCCGGTACCCAGACGCACGTGGATCGTAAGCGCACGCATCTGTAGTGACTTCACGAGGAAGAAGGTCGTGTGGAAAGTTCATGTGTATATACATGTGAATTGCATAAGATTGGTATTCGTAGTTAAGGGTGCGAGATAGATGCATTTATGTGTTATTCTGTTTTAAGTTAATAGCAGTTTATTTAGGTATATTTACTGTGAATAAATATAAGGTAACAAATTTAGAAAGTCTGCTCATTTTAAGTTGATCCTACGCCCTTGAAGTGAAGTATGTTTTCTTAGTTTATCTTTCGGTATTACATAATCGGTTCCTGATAATGTAGCCCCAAAATTTAATACTTACATCATTAGATCCATTCATATAAATACCGAGCGTTTTCAGTACCCTTAAGTGATCTGTAGTTACTGACTTTAAAATGCCATGCATATGAAGTGATCTTAAAAGTAATTTCATCAGCGGACTTTTGAAAAGGTTAGGAAAAAATTTCACCACTTTTCATTAAGTTTTAATGCATAATTAATACTTGCGTCATTCGAAAAGCAAAATCACTAAAGTGTAAGAAGTGTTAGGAAGTGAATAAAATATTCATTAACGTAAAGTAAAGATAGTACTTATCTTGAATATTAATAAAGAATGAAAGAAATGTTTAGTAATAACTAATAAAACTATTTAAATTTAAAGTGAAATTCTCACGTTCTTTATTTCTTAAAATTATCGAACATTATGAAGCATATTAGTTACATTTTTCTTCATGTTGCAATCAGAATAATGTATAAAAATAATGAAATAATGCAAGTTTTGTTCATTGTGCATACTTTTTCTGAAAATTTTAAGGCCAGCTAGTTTCATTCAGTATTTAAAACGTTTAAATTAAAAACTGCTTACTTAAAAGGTGGATTTTTCATTCGATTTAATAATTTTATTCATCTTGATGTAGTCTCCCAGGAAAAGTTCATTTTTTATTTTCTGGACAATTATTTATTAAAAAAAAAAATTTTTTTTTTGTTTTCTTTATTCTGTGGATTGTATATTTAGCAGAATAAGGAAGCGTCTTTATTTCCGGAATTTCTTAGATCATAATGAGTTATCCTGCATAACAGTGTTTTTTGTGATTTTTAGTTAAAATATATATTGGTATCTATTATATATGTATGTTTTATAAAAAAGTTTTTTTGTGTAAGTGAAGTTAAAGTTATGGTTACTATTTTGTTAGTAGAGTTTTATTTATTCTAGTTAGATTAAAAATTTCAAGTATTTTAAGTAAATTGTAAAACATGGAAATTATGTCACGTAATAAATATTCTATTTCCTACAACTAATTCAGTTAACCTGAGAAGTTGCTGCTGAAAAAAAATGTGAAATTTAAACTATGTGGTTCAGAAAAAAAATTTTTTTGAACGGATTTTCTTTTTTATTAAACTTGTATGCATGCTGTTGATAATTAATGACTTTATTGTTGTTCAACACTTCATAATGCAAGTTCATGCATATTTACTAACTCTGTTTTAATGAAACTTAATTCATGCCCAGTAGTTTCAGTTTCGTTAATAGTTGTGACTAGTTTATTGGGTTAATCTTTAGATTATGGTAACTTGTCGATTTTTTGGCAAAAATTTGGCGACCAACTCTCCTACAGCAAACCTCTATTTTTTTTTTTCCCCGCCGCCATTTTGTCTTCACGAAGTAAAGACATGTTTCTTTTCTTTTTATCTACTGAACACTTCTTCCAACAATCTACTAGCCGAATTACACTTATGCTAGAAATTTTATCTAACAAAACTGCTTAATCGTGACAAATATTCACTGCAAAATTGGAAAAAGTGCACAATACCATACTCCTTACGCATTTTTCAAAATAACACATACACATAAACCATGTACACGTCGACTTATTTTTACTTAAAAAAAATCCCAGAATTACACAAAAATGGCATTGCGCACACTCTTCACTATATCCATGTATACTGCTTTTTTCTCATAAATTAGAAAAATTTCACGAAAATACATGACAATTTTCTGAATCTTTAAACCCGGTAAAAAGAACATATATGAAATTACCTGATCGCGAAAAAGTATATACCCTTTCCAAATATGAACATTTCCTCATATAAAATAAATAAAATATCCAAAAACTTTTACCTCTAAATCATCTATTATATTATAAACGTCATCAACGAATTCATACTGCAAGCATTACAAATACTTAGTGTCAAATATTTAAATTATTTCCATGCACGTTTACTTCAACTAAAATGTATACCAAATTCCTAGAAACATGAAATTCACAAAATAACTATAATTTAATTAAAATAAGACTAAACCATGTACACGTCGACTTATTTTTACTTAAAAAAGAAAATCCCAGAATTGCACAAAAATGGCATTGCGCACACTCTTCACCGTATCCATGTACACTGCTTTTTTGTCATAAATTAGAAAAATTTCACAAAAATGCATGACAATTTTCTGCATCTTTAAACCCGTTAAAAAGAACATATATGAAATTACCTAATAACGAAAAAGTATATACCCTTTCTAAATATGAACATTTTCACGTATAAAATAAATAAAATATCCAAAAACTTTTACCTCTAAATTATCTATTATATTATAAACGTCACCAACGAATTCATACCGCAAACATTACAAATACTTAGTGTCAAATATTTAAATTATTTCCATGCACGTTTACTTCAACTAAAAACGTATACCAAATTCCTACAAACTTAAAATTCACAAAATAACTATCATTTAATTAAAATATAATTAAATTCAAAAACACTACTTAAAATATAAATAAGCAGCACATACATTAAATTAATAAAAATTAGCTTACAATCCTAATTACTTTAAACTAAATCATTGCTAATAACAATTTTCCCAATAATACCAAATTACTTTACTTCCACCTTACATTTAGAACAATGCATAAAAATAATATCCTCAAATAATTAAAAATACTAACTTACCTAATCTTCTTCAGAATCTTGCTTACATGGTGGATAAACTTTTTTTATGGATTCAATAAAATTATTGAATGATTTTTTTCTGCGAATTTTTCCTCCATACATGCTTCCTCCGCTAAATAAAAAGCAAAATTCTGCTTTTATCATAATGCCTCGGAATGGTGCTTAAAAATAGCACTCCCATGTGCCCTCTATTGTATTGGTATGTGCACCTTATCTGGATCTTTAAAATAATCTGTTTGTGATCTTTGAAATTAATATTTGTTGTTCACAGCAAGATACTGTTTAAAAACCTTCATCCTTCCAAACATTCATACGATTTCCAGCAATCTGAAGATATTATTATTAGTACCACCCGGTAAGAATATATTGCTTTTATAAAACTTAATAAACAATCTTTACTTCTATCTCGCACAACCTTAAAAAAATACTTATTACTACCCCTTTCAATCCCACCAAACACCCATTTTCCTTCCACTCTCCTACCTCTCTGATACTTCCGCTTCCCAAACTTATTCTCGTCAATTTCCACAATAACATTCATACCACAAGCATACCCATATCATTTTCGCAAAATTCCACGCATACTTCCCTACAAAAAGAATTCCAATCAGCTGCAGTCCTACTGCTAATTTCTAAATCCAAAATCCAATAGTCAACTGGCAATCTATTCACGCAATAATAAGAAATCAATAAAATGTCACCCATACTCAAACGACTTTCAGCAAACCACGTACCCTTCCTTACACTCCGTTTCACAAAATGTCCATTTTCACCAGATTTCTTGCACCGCTATCTTCCTTTCACACAATCTCATTTCATTCCCATATTTTGGACATTCATACTTATCCGCAATTAAACCTACACTCATGCACCATTCAACCAATTCTTTTGAATTATCACATAAACGCATTAAAAATCTAGAATTCACTTTAGACAGCGCCATACAATCCCAAAATTATTCAACCTTACTTCACACAACACACAATGAAGCTTAATAAAAAATAATATACAGCCACAGATATTTTTCTTTCTCCCCTTTTCCGATTAAAGAACCGTAATTCGTCCATTAATATCACATGACATATCCCATGATCTCTCATTTCCCTCGCACAAAATAATGCGTAATCGGAACTGAGTACTGCTCACATTATTACCAAAGTCCCAGGTATTAACCTTTATCGCCCCTAAAATTTCGCCAAACTACCAGTTAACATATTCTAAAGATCAGCCGTTTATTGTCATGTGTAACGCAATCAATAGTGCGAGGCAAAAATTCTTATAAAACTTTTATAGTTGCAGATTTTAACAATTTCTGAATTTTTATATTGAATGGAAGTACAGGAATTCAGAAATAATTTTCTTTGTTTACCCAAGAAAATATTTTTTTAATGTTTGAATAATAACTGAATGAGGAATTCTAAAATGACAATGAGAAATTTGGGAAGTACAAAGAACTTAAAATAAAGTTTATATTTTTAGCAGTAATCTCAGCTCACAGAATTTCCACATTTGAGTTGCTTCTGATTCTTGATTTTCATTTTTTTAATCTAGTACGGAGCAATGGGTAACCATTCTGTTCACTGACGAGTCCCTTTTTAGCCTAAACACCGATTCTTGACGTACTTTCAACATGAAGAGAGCCAGGGAACCACTACCTACACTCCAATGCCCGCGAAATCAACAATTGTGGCAGTGTAATGGTATGGGCAGGCATCATGTTGGATGACTGCACACCTCTTCCCATCTTTCAGAGAGGTGCGAGGTATAGGGATGAGGTCTTGGAGCCCTATGTTCACCTTTTCCGGGGTGCAGTGGGCCCAGAGTTCATCTTACAGGACGATAACACAAGGCCACTAGAGCTCTTCTGCTCGAGGAATTTCTCGAGATTGAGGATATTTGCCAGATGGATTGGCCAGCCAGGTTTCCAGACCTCAACCCTATAGAGCATGTCTGGGATGCTCCACGGAGAGCAATTGCAACCCCCTTCTGAGAACCATCCAGGAACTGAAAACAGTGTTGCTGAATGAGTGGGACCAATTGCCACAGGCACTGATAAACTGCCTTATTTCCAGTATGACTTACGAAGGGACCATACCCCCTATTAACCCATTTCTTTTGTGTCTTCTGCAACTGCTGTTTCACACCTTCAGACTCCCATGAGTGTTATACAAAAACATGTGTGTCTATTAAAACTGTTGAATGTTTATTTTGTTTGTATTATATAAACCTATGTTCACACCAAATTTTATTAAAATCTGTCCAGTAGTTGCAGAGATCGTAGATCAAATATGAAAATTCTCGTAATTTATTTCACCAGTGTATATATGTTTCTCAGCAAGTCTAGCAGTTCTGCTTGTGCTTGCATACAAATGCATGCTTCTTCTAACTTGTTTCTGTTAAATATAAAAAGTATTACATTGCGAATGACTACTGATTTATTTGACTAAACGAATTGCTTCTCTTCCTAAATAACAGCATGCAAGATAACTTAGTACACTGTAAGAGTGTACCCAAAACACCACAATTCCATTTGAACTGTCACAAAAAAAAAAAAAAAAAAAAAATCCTGTATAACAGAGAGAAGTAAAAATGATTTGTATCAAGTGTACAATGTGTTCGAGTACCAAACTATCAGATCAATAATTTTTTTATACACCAAGCATTTTAGAAATGCCCTATAACTAGAAGTCGCAAGGTTTGAGATTCATGAATATAAAGACTTTCGCGGGCATTGGAGTGTAGGTAGTGGTTTCCTGGCTCTCTTCATGTTGAAAGTATGTCAAGAATCGGTGTTTAGGCTAAAAAGGGACTCGTCAGTGAACAGAATGGTTACCCATTGCTCCGTACTCCATTCACTATGCTGCCTGCACCATGCTAATCGGACTCTCCTGTCCGTAGACGTGAGCGGGAAGCAAACGGCGTTCTTCTGGCAAACAACCCTCTCTCATTCAGTCTTTTGGAAATAGTCACTCTTGTTACACTTGTTCCTGTGGCTGCATACAGGTCCCGAGAGAGTTTTAGGTATGTGAAATATAGCAGTTAAAAAAATAAAGTAAATAGCAATTTAAAAGTCCAGTTATGGTTAAAGCACCACAGACTTATATCTGTGAATAACAAAAATGAAAAGGTATTTTCTGATTATTCTGTTGTCTCCGAATAAGTGAGCTGTCAGTTTTATGAATTGGCAGAAAGAAGTTTGGCTGATAGGTATTTTTTATTTATAAATATTGATCTATTTATAATTGATATCTTTTTATTGTTATTATTCAGTAACAACAATAATAATAAAAAGAAACATTTTATGACAGGAAATTTTATAAGGTGGGTAAATCAAAAACAAAAATGTATGATATTTACATTTTTACCTGTCGATCTAGTGACGGTTAAATATAAAGTGCATAATGCAACATGTTCTCAAACATATCTGGTACATGCATACATGGGTTGATTACTATTGTATGTACTGGAAAATACATCAAAACATGACATAATAAATGTTGAAACTGAATTGTGGGAATAATCATGAAGTACCAAGAAAAATAATCGCAATGTGTAACAAAAATAATTTGCATCAAAATGCAAATTGCTTTTTTGAGTCTCATTTTGCCTTTGGTGGTTTGATTTTTGAACCACTAAATTTTTATTATTCTAAAGAGTGAGTGGAGAAAATTTGTTGAATTTTTATCTAATACATATATCATTACAAGGCTTGTTTAATTTTTATCTAATACATGCATCATTACAAGGCTTGTTTAATTTTTATCTAATATATGCATCATTACAAGGCTTGTTTAATTTTTATCTAATATATGCATCATTACAAGGCTTGTAATCATCCTTTTTATGGAGCAGCTGTATTTCATTTCTCCAATCTACCCAACCTTTTTGTCAGTTTGACATATTTATCTGTAAATCTATTGTCTCTATTTGTGCATAGTCCATATAGTCCTGGAGGTATCAAAGACTAGGCATAGATGTATATAAGTGTATAGGGTCTTTGTGGCAAGGGGCCATTCAAAATACATGGCGAGGACACAATAATCTTGAGATGTTGGTGGTAAGGCAAGAGGGGTGAGATGCCCTCAGAATGCTTGTTGGGATCTTTTTCCTCAGAATTCAATCTAGGGTTTGGAAGTTTAACAGATAGCAAGGCCTTATGATACCTAGTATGTCTACTTAGATGTACAGGTGCAAACTTTGTCAACCTGTACATATAGTGAAAGCTCTCATGGCAACATCTGCCATGAATAGCCACCTGTTGTGAATGATTTTTTTGAGTATTGCTGAAAATAAATATTGGTATTGATAATCACCTCACTGAGGCAGCTGTCTGAGGAAGCTGCCTCATTGAATTCTAGACTTGTAATTTTCAAATGAAAGTAATAAAAATATTTTGCTACTTTTAAAATATTTACTATCAAAAATGTTAAACTGATTTTTAAAACTATAATACTGAATTTTATGCAGTTAATTTAATAAATATAATAAGTAATTATGCATTGTATAATATGTTATAAATATGTATATGTATGCATATAAAAAGAATAGAAGCATAGCAAAAAAACTGTAGCAAGGAGAGAAGTGAAAAACTTAAATGTTTGAGAAAAGTACAGGGTGTAATTGCAGGTTGTAAATATTTTACGAATGAGTTCCTGAAATTAATTTTTCATGGTTAATACTTTTTAAAAATTCAATGCATAAAAATGTAAATTTATGTTTGCATAATGGGTAATGCATTTATGCTTTTCTTGTAATGGTGGAAAATCGTGGTCTTAAAAAATCCTTCACTTCCAAGCCGCCCCATACGGCCCTACATTGAAACAAAAAGAACCGCCCGAAAACGGCCGAGATTGTAATCTTGTTTTCTTCCCTCCCCCTAAGATATGAAGTAGCAGGTGCAGTTTCCCCAAATGCATTGTATCAGTTTACTGCAGACAGCTTGTTCTAAGAAATTTCTTATCTTTTGGTTGATCGTGACATTTCGTTGTTATTCTTTTGTGGTACAGTGTGCTTTTAAGCTTTAAACAGCAGTAAAAGAGCAGTTTAAAAATTTAAGGATTATATTTATTTTTAAACAATTTATTCCTTCCTATAAAAATAACGGAAATAAAGAAAATCTCAGTCGTGATCATAACAAAGCCAGAAAGGCTTGTTGGTCTGACCTTCAGAATAGTTTTATAAAGAACAAAGTCAAAGGCTAATGGAATCTTTGTTAGAAAGTACAAAGGATGTCGTTGGAAATCTTCACACCTATTTTCTGCATTAATGGACGGGGAGGGGAAGAAATTGTTGTGAAACTGGAAAACTATTTCGGGCGTTTGTTCACGTGTCCTCAAAATACCTGAGGTCCTGTATCCTTAAAAACCTGTGTACCTGTGACCTCAAAAATCCCCTCTGTCCATGGAGGGGATGCTTGAACCTGATTGCAAACTTTAGATGAACAAAACTTTCTAAATTTACCAAATTTATTATAACTTCAACAGGTAGAAATATTTTTCAATACATATTTATTTAATTTAATTAAAAAATAATATTTCATGTAGTTTTAATAATATGTCAACATGTTTAAGTAAACTATGGGCTGGTTGCAGTCCACGGAGTTGATTTTTGTCACATATTTAGAATTTTATCTTACATAGCTTCTTCGCTGCCAGCCTTCGTCTGGCTTTTAAATGTGCCGGAAAAATGGCTGAAGGGAACACCAAACGTTAAATGTAAAAACTGCGTAGAATTTTACTCTGCAGAACAACTTCATAAAAAAAAAAGTTATTACGTATAACAAAATTACAATGAAATAAGCAATATTCATTAATACAAATATTAGTTATCCTAATAAATAAATTAACCAACTTCCCTTTGCAAAATCTTAAGAACTCGAATGTTATAAAGGAGGTTAAGAACTTTGTTTCCTAAAAAAATCACTCAGAACTTTTCAATATCTTAAAAACAGTGAAATGAGCAATAAATAACATAAAAGAATACAAAAAACAAAAAAAGTATAATTAATGATATTTTATCTTATATTTTCAACAGAAAAAATTACAATGAAATAAACTATCCCTTAATACAAATATTAATTATCCTAATGAAAAAATTAACCAACTTTCCATTGAAGAAAAAAAAAATCATGCAAAACTTTTCAATATCTTAAAAACAGTGAAATGAGTATAAATAACATAAAAGAATACAAAAAACAAAAAATTCTGTAAAGCAAAGTATAATTAAGATATTTTATCTTATATTTTCAAGAGAAAATAATTACAATGAAATAAGCTATGTCCCTTCATACAAATATTAATTATCCTAATAAAAGAATTAACCAACTTTCCGTTGAAGAAAAAAAAAAATCATGCAAAACTTTTCAATATATTACAGTAAAATGAGCAAATAAGTAACATAAAAGAATACAAAAAACAAAAAATTCTGAAAAGCAAAGTATAATTAAGATATTTTATCTTATATTTTCAAGAGGAAAAAAAATACAATGATATAAGCTATATCCCTTAATACAAATATTAATTATCCTAATAAAAAAATTAACCAACTTTCCGTTGAAAAAAAAAATCATGCAAAACTTTTCAGTATCTTACAGTGAAATAAGCAAAAAAATAACATGAAAGCAACTCGAAAAACATAAAATTCTGCGCAGACTTTTACTCGTATATATAAAAATGACAATGAAATATGCCAGTCTCTTAAAAACAGTGACATAAGAAATATGATGAAAAATTGTTGCCAAACCCATATTTCTAAAAGAATGAAACTATTCAAAATGATGCAATTTCATCAAAAATCTATCAATAACAATAAGACGGTAAAATTGTTGCCAAAATCACAGTTTTAAAGATGTGAGAAGTGTACTCGGAAGCTTCATTTAAAAAAAAAAAATTTAAAAATATATAATATTATCATTTTTCCAAAATTCTTTTAGTAAAAGCAGTCACAAGGGTGAAAGTTTAACGTGTCCAAAAATCAAAGAAAAATAAACTGTACATTTTTAAAAATAAATGTTTTTAGAAAAAATCCCGTTGAAAAGGTGTTAAGCTACCTTTGTTAAATAAATTCGTATTTAATCGATTTATTGAAACACGTAATTTTTTTTAAGTTTGTAAAATAGCTAAGTGCCTACATTTCATGACGATGTGAAAATGTCGAGTAAAATCTCGATTTCCTATAGCCCATTATGTCTCAAAAATGACGCAATTTCGTAACAAAACATAAAATAAAAGAAATTCGAATTTCGAAAAAAATCGCTTCGAGGTGCACTGGCTCTTGCCTAGATGCACCTATGTACCAAATTTCGTAGCAGTGGGTCTATTAGCTTATGCTTGGCGCGAATGAAAGACACACACACACAGACAGACTCTTTCTTTTATTATATGTAGAGAAAAACAATTAAAAATAAATTTTCAGTTTTAAGGAACTAATTAGTACTCATCTAAAACTACATAGTACAATTTGTTACATGAATATTGTATCACTAGAAGAGTTAATATTCTTGAATTTCAAGAAAGTGCCCGAATTTGGAGAATGACCCTTATATTGAATTCACTTTAAATCAGTGCTCTTTTGTATTTTGATTGAATATTAAGAAGGTATTTTTAATGTTTTCTTTTTCAAGGCTCTGATAAAATTTTACCTGTTTAATAAGCTCTAAAATTACCCACACAAAAACTTCATTTAAAAAGTTTTATTTCATTTGAAGATGAAATATTTTTTAGTTTCATTTGACAAGCTGTCTGATTTAAACTATTGTAATGTATGCAGTGAATCAAACAGTCTGCTGATGTGTGAGGGAGCTAAGAAATTTTCAGTTGATCTTTGGATTATGTTAACTTGGCGGTTTTTTGGCGAAAATTTGGCGACCAACTCTGCTACAGCAAACCTCTATTTTTTTTTCGCCGCCATTTTGTCTTCATGAAGTAAAGACCTGTTTCTTTTCTTTTTATTTACTCAACACTTTTTCCAACAATCTACTAGCCGAATTACACTTATGCTAGAAATTTTATGTAACAAAACTGTTTTAATCATGACAAATATTAACTGCAAAATTGAGAAAAAGTGCACAATCGCAAACTCCTTGCGCGTTTTTCAGAATAGCACACACACATAAACCATTTACACGTCGGCTTATTTTTACTTAAAAAAACATCCCAGAATTGCACAAAAATGGCATTGCACACACTCTTAACTTTATCCATCTACACTGCTATTTTCTCATAAATTACAAAAATTTGCACGAAAATGCAAGAAAATTTTCTGAATCTTTAAACTCGGTAAAAAGCACATATATGAAATTACCTGATCGCGAAAAAGTATATACCCTTTCCAAGGATGAACATTCCCACGTATAAAATAAAAAAAATTTCCCAAAACTTTTACCTCTAAATTATCTATTATATTATAAACGTCACCAACGAATTTTTACCGCAAACATTAAAAATAGTTACAAATACTTAGTGTCAAATATTTAAATTATTTCCATACATGTTTACTTCAACTGAAACGTATACCAAATTGCTACAAACATAAAATTCAGAAAATAACTATCGTTTAATTAAAATATAACTAAACCATGTACACGTCGACTTATTTTTACTTAAAAAAACATCCCAGAATTGCACAAAAATGGCATTGCGCACACTCTTCACTATATCCATGTACACTGCTTTTTTCTCAGAAATTAGAAAAATTTCACGAAAATGCATGAAAATACTCAACGTATTCTACTCAAACGTATTCCAAAATACTACAAACATATAACTCACAAAATCACGATCATTAAATTAAAATATATTAAATTAAAAAACACTACTTAAAATATAAATAAGCACATACATTAAATTAATAAAAATTAGATACAATCCTAATTACTTTAAACTAATCATTGCTAATAACAATTTTCCATAATGCCATATTAATTTATTTACTATATTTTATTTATTTAGAACAATGCATAAAAATAATATCCTCAAATGATTAAAAATACTAACTTACCTAATCTTCTTCAGAATCTTCATTACGTGGCAAGCACACTTCCCTACAGAAAGAGTTCCAATCGGCTGCAGTACTACTGCTAATTTCTAAATCCGAAATCCAGTAGTCAACTGGCAGTCTATTGCACCCACTAATAAGAAATTAATAAAATTTCACCCAATACTCAAACGACTTTCAGCAAACCACGTACCCTTCCTTACATTACGTTTCACAAAATGTCCATTTTCACCAGATTTCTTGTACCAGCATTCAAACTTATGTGTAATATCCTTCCTTTCACACAATCTCAACTTATTATTATTATCAGATAAACGCATTAAAAATTTAGAATTCACTTTACATAGCGCCATGCAATCCGAAAATTAATCAACACTATTTCACGCAACACACAATGAAGCTTAATACAAAATAATATATTACTACGGATATTTTTCTAAATTTTTACCCCCTTTTCCGATTAAAGAACTGTAATTCGTCCATTAATGTCACATGACATATCTCATGATCTCTCATTTCCCTCGCACAAAATAATGCGTAATCGGAACTGAGTACTTCTCACATTATTACCAAAGTCCTAGGTAGTAACCTTTATCGCCTCCAAAATGTCTCCAAACTACCTGTTACCATATTCCAAAGATCAGCCGAATTTTTAGATTTCACTTGCTTTTTTCTTTTTATGTAGTCTGGTCAGGAATATGCTTATTGCTTTAATTAATTAGCTGATAAAATTAATTGGTGTTATCATGCATTAAATTGTACATACACTTGCTATATCTTAAAGTTCTGGAATAAATGCTGTACATTAAAAAGACATTTTCTGCGGTAAGTTTGACCAAAACTGAAAACGTACATAAAAAAAATTAATTTCTTATTATTTTTTTCTTAAAACTTATCATTTTAAGGCATCCTATAATTATGAAATCAATCTTGGACAGCTTTGAAAGGGTAACTTGTAATAATCATTATATTTATATATTTATGACTGTGAATAGCAGTTTTATTTAGATATTGCGTATGTGATTTTAAAATTAAACAATTTAAGTAATATTCACTATGTGAAATAAGTTTTAATAAATCAAGATTTTATGTTTTTTTGCCATTAATTCAGATTTTTATTTAAATTTCAGATTAAGTGTTTGTGAATATGGTTAAAGATTCTGACATGCCATCTGCAACTTGTGAAACCTTAAATGGTCATTCTAATGTTGATGACAAAGAAAATTATGAAGATTTAACACAAAAGTTAAAATCTTTATGTGATACATCTCTTCCAAAGCAGACAGTTATTAATGATAAAACAAAATATGTTGAAAATATTTTAACAAATAAAAACTGTGGTTCATTCATCGAAGAAGATGTTGATGATGGTGTATTTCAGAAAATGGATTCTATAAATAATGAAAGTATAAACAAAGAAACATTTAATGAAAAGAATGAAGGCATAATTGATGCTAGCAAAGAGCAAGAATTTGTTTTTATTCATGATGCTGGTTTTGTTGTTAAAATAATAGCGCCTGGTGTTGAACCATTTGATATTCAGGTAAGTGAATTTATATTTTATGTGTACATTGGTATCAGGAAAATTTTTTAATGTTTTCATGATTTTATATTAAATGCTATCTAATGTCCATCGTATTTGTGAATATGTCAAATTTGAAATTCACATTTTTAATTTTTATATATAATTATTAATGTAAACTTTAACAGAGTAAGATATATATATGTAACTTCTTGTATAGTTTGTTGAATTTAATTACTTCTGTACTTTAAAAGAAGACTCAACTAATGAGTATAACTCAACTTTTATTATTACATTTTTAAACAGTTCACATGACATTCAGCTAGCACAGTAACACGTGCATCGTGCTAAGTTAAAGTTATTTTTAGTTACAGTTACAGTTGTAGTTAATTTAAATATACATCACAATATAAAACATTATTTTTTTCTGAAATAAAAAGGATAAAAATTTTAAAGATTTTTTTAAAAAAATTTAAACTTGGTGTTTTGTTTTTAATTCTGTTTATGGCCAATTTAGTGCAGCACCTTATACATGTATTAAAAATGAAAGGCTAACAGTATCATAGGAATAGTTTGTTTTTATTCAGGAAATATACCTACAAAAGGGTTTCAATCAGTAGTGCATTGAACTACTTCTGGTCGTGATACAAGCTGTTATGTGGCTGGGCATTAACTCCTGGAGTTGGCGACTTTCCTCCTGTGATAATGCTTGCCATACGTGTTTCAGTTATCGAGTTAGATCGGCATGATCCAGGAATGGTCAGAAACACCAGCTCATCAAAACCCAAAAGTTCTCTACTGGGGATAAATCTGGCGATTGTGCTGGCCAGGGAACAGCCTATCTGAAATTGCAACACCTCTTTGTGAACCCATACGTGAGGCATTGGTCCAGTCTATGTGGGTTGATAGAACCACCTTCATATGGACATTAGAATGTCCTCTACTTTATACACGATCTGGATGTTCAGTTGAGTGTACTAGTCGGCCATTGACTGGCAAAAGTTGGTAATCATTTGGATATTCTAAGTTATAGGCGGTTAGAGTTGACTTTAGGTATTATTTGTATTATCGCGAAGTTGTTGTTTCATTTATATAGTCTGAGTAGTTGAATGTTATGGAAACCCTATCATGATGTAATTATTGCGGTAAATTCGTAATGTCTTGTGGTTATGTGTGTGTTGGTTAGGAAGTATATTGCTTGTTTCGTGATTTAGACAGTAAAATGGCTGAATGTGGTAAGATTAATTTGAATTTTCTGTACAAGTTTGAAAGAAAGGGGGAAAGAGCATTACTTACTTGACTGGTGTGTAAATGAAGGTTTACTTAGTAGCCATTATTAGGTGTCCTGCTTGTAGGAAGGAAATGCGTATTGTTGAACGTTGTTACAAAGGATATTTTTTACTCTTATTTTGTGAATTTATGTGGCGACGCCAGTATATACAGACTCTAGTTCAAATAATTTTAGGAAGTTTTTGGATGCTGTTAAGGAATTTTGCTTGACCAAAGAGGTGTGAATTCATAAATAAGGTAAGTGGATATTTCCTTTGTGTAGTGCAAAGATGAATTTCCCTTTTTATGTTATTTCAGTGTTTGATTTAAAATGTAGTTTATTGAGATTATATATTTTTTTGTTGGCTGCTTCTTTGACTTTTGAAGTGAATGTAGTTCGATGTGTACATGGACTAACTCAAGGGAGTGTGCAAAGCCTAGTTTGTGCAATTCTCTGATGTTTTTTTAAGTGAAAATAGGTTGATGTGTACATGGATACTGAGTTTGTGCAAATCTTTGTCTTGTTATTTTGGCTTTGTGTATAGGTGATATTTGATGGGCATATGTAGTTTCATCCCATTTAGATAACTCCTTCTCAATTCTCTGTCTTTACGTTAGAGGCAAAAGGCAAAGCAAAACATTATGACCACCTACTCAATAACACATTGCATGACCTTTGGCCTGCAAAACAGCGGCAACTCCCCTTGGCATGGATGCCACAAATTCTTGGTAGATGACTGGAGACGGGTTGTACCAAATGTTTAGCAAAGTTGAAATGGAAGTATTTGAGCTGTGAGGTGCCACTCTGTGACATCCCAAATGTGCTCTATCAGGTTAAGGTCTGACAAGTTAAGTGGCTAGGATATTAATTGGAATTTATCCCTATGCTCTTGGAACCACTACAACATAATATGAGCCTTGTGACATGGGCCCTTTGTCCTGCTGAAAGATTCTATTTCCAGTTGAGAAGACAGGCACCATGTAAGGGTGCAACTGATCTGCATTTATGTTCAGATAGTCCACAACTTTCATTGTCTGTTCTATCACAACTAAGGGTCCCAGAGTAGCCCATGAGAATGGCCCCCACAGCATAATACTGCCACTACCAGCCTGTGTATCACCTGCTGTATGGGGGGAGCAACTGTTCGTTTGGTAGATTACGTAGCCTGAAACATCTATTGATGTGATGAAAGGGAAATCGTGAGTCTTCTTACCAAGCAACTGTCTTCCACCTATAAATGTCCAGTCTTGATGTTCCCAGGCCCACTGTAGGCATAGTCACTGTGACACTTAGTCAACAGAGACACACAAGTGGGATGTCTGTTGCACAATTCCATATCCAAAAGTGTCAGTTGAACTGTGTGTTCTGAAACAGTTGCACTTGGATGTGCATTGCATTGAGCTGTCAGCTGAGCTACTATCTGGCATCAATTTTCCTATGACAAGGGAGACAGTCTCCAACATCCTTTTTCTTTGATGACGCATGCATGTTTAACACCTTGATCTTTACTGCTGATTTTACTGTTATTTTTCCACTTTGCATAAATACCAACAATGCCAGATCATGAACACCTACCAGTCATGCAGTTTCAGAGGTACTCTTTCCGAGTCTTCAGGCCATTACAATCCATCTTCTATTAAATTTATTTACATTAGCCGTCCTTGCCCAACACTCGCAAAAGTAAGTTCAAGAATGATTGCTTACATTCTGCAGCAGCAGTTAACTACCATTTCCACTTAATCACTTGCCCTTTGCATCATCCAGACAAGGTCATTGAGAAATGTGGGTGTATATAATATATAAAGACATACAGCCAATTCTTGATTAACAGAGTTGTGAACTGCCAGACCTCTTAGAAAGAAAGTTATTTATTGCAGCAGATGATGCTATATTTAAGAATATTTTTATCCATAACAATACATAATTTACTTACGCGTAATCTGGTATATAAAAAATGTGTTAAATCATACATTAAAAATAAATTAAGTACAGCGATTTATCTTGTTTCCCCATCAACTTTTGACAAAAGAATTCTTTCTTCCCTTCTGAAGTGCATTCATCATGTGTTGAATGTTGATTTGTGTAAGTAAGTGAGCTTATTTTTCATATTAAACTGCTTAAAAATAGAAGTGATTTGTTAATAGAATTTTTCTTTCCTGTACAAGATAGATCATTCCTCTTTAATGATTTTTTTTTAATGCTGTTGCATTAAACATGAATGTCTCTTCGTTTAATTGGGAGTCTTTTGTATGTGTGTGTGTGTGTATATATATATTCTCATTTCTAACTCGTATCGAATGCTAAATGATGGTTATTTTCATTTTATGACTTCATTAAAAGAGCGCTTTTGAAGCTAATTAAGTTTTAATTTGTATCTCAATTTCTATTCAAAATTTAGCCTTGTGGACAGCATTTTTTCTGTACCAGCATTTGCTGCCAGTTCAGTATGAACATAGCTGGAATAATGTTTCAGTAACCAGGGATGACTGCAGTTCATATATAGGTGGAATTCTGAATTTTTAACATTCTCAACTTATGAATTCATAACTTATGAATTTATATAATGTAGACTGATTTTCTTTTAGAAAAAATATATTTGAAGATTACACAAATTTAAAAATTTCTAGGCTGTTGACGGAAGTCAGACCGGATGTAAGACTATTCTTCTTCAGTTACGCTACAGCCTATTGCAGCCCAAGGCCATCTCAACAAGCTTCCTCCAGCTGGTTGTTATGGTGACACAACAATCCCAATCAGTCACAGTGGTCCTCCAATGATTGAATTTTAGTTTTGAGATCTGCCTGCCACAGTCTGTCCATCTTGTGTGAGGTCTTCCGCTTTTCCTGTTACCCTCTACACTTGCAAATGTTATCTTTTTAATAGGATTCAAATTGTTACATCTAAAAATATGCCATAGCCACATGAAACCATGAGATTTGATGACTCGGACAATATGAAGTTGTTTGTATCTTCTATAGATTTCATTGTTAAACCAAAATTCTGCATGTGTTATTTTCTCTAACTAGGTCAATATTTTTCAGAGTATTTTTCTTTCAAAGCTTAGAAGTTCTGTTTTTGTTAATGGACAGCATTCAGTGCTGTACAATTTGATAGGTTTAATAAGAGTTGTGTAAATATTTATTTTTTCTTGAAGTTTAATAATTTAGATATTAATAAATTCTTTAAACTGTGATAACATCTATTAGCTCTAAAAAACTGTAATCAATTTCATGTTATCACTAGAGATGATAGTACCAAGATACGTAAACTGAGCAATGGCTTCAAAAGTATAAGAATTTAGTGGGAGGGGGTTATGTGCTCTACCTATTACTGCCTTAAATTGTGTTTTATTCACATTAATGGTTAGTCTAATGCCTCTAGCTGCAGACTGTAGAGAAACGTCTCACAACGGCCTGTTTATTTGTGCCAATAATGTCACTGTCATTGGCATAAGCTTAAATACATAGATCTCTGAAAAATGGTACTTGTAGGTATAGTTCTGGCATCTTTAATAGTCACTTCAAGGGCGATATTAAAAAATATGCATGCAAATATGCTTCTGTCAACCCCAGTTCAGTGTAGAATGCCTCTGATAGATCAGATATGATTTTAACTCTGCAGATTATTGAGAGAAGTTTAGCAGGAACTGAAGTATTCAGACTAAAAGATAGGAAGCAGAGGTGGGTGAAGTGCAGAATAGCGCATTTATTTGGCATGTTATGTTTAGTGATTTTTACAAAAGTAAGAAGAA